ACATTTTTGAGGTTCTATGAGTGACTGTGCTGAAAATCTGTTTCAGCTTCTCTGTGTTTGTCAACTGATAAAACATCAATTGAGTTTATCTCGGATAATCTTATGTGTTGGAATCCACAGGCTGTTCTGCTGTGTCTCGCTGACTAACGTGGTGTCTGTGTGTTTTGTTGTGCCATACATCTTCTGTCTTCCAGGCAGTGAGATGTCACTGGGATGTGAGGAGGTGGATAATAGCAGAAAATAGCAATTTGTGATGGAAAAACTAAGCTAATGACGAGCTGTGCAAACAGCAGCAGAAGCTTTTGCTTTTATATGAACTATGAAGCATCAGCTTGCTTGAATTTTGATAAATGCATGCAGAACAGTTACAATGTGGATTTTATTTAAATAGCATACTATGAAAGATGAAGGAGTGCTTCAACTTAAGAGCTGTTCAGAAATACACTTTCAAAGCGGCTGCTTTAATGCTTAAATATGTGATGCCAAAACATTATTTGGAGTCTTGGGTATTACAGACAATATGCAGTGTCACTTTGTACAGCTTTTCCTGTTATATGCTGTTTCTGCTTCAGCTGGATTTTAAAGTTTTCATTCTTTCTGGTATATTTGTGAGTTTCAAGAGGGAATATGTAACTGCAGCAATGCATCTAAACTGTTTAGATCTCCTAGATGTTTATCAGTTGTGCCTTACGTGCCTGCTAACATTTGAGCTGCTGTAAGTGAAGCCATGGCTCTGTTAGAGCATCAGACCTCTGGGGAACACAGCACGTCTCCAAATCCACAGGATTCTTGAATAACCTAGAGAAAGTTTTACACCTTTGGTCTTGATTCCCTCATTCCCCTCTTCAGAAACATGTTAGGTTAAAATGTGTATTTTTGGTACATGGATGTAACAGCAGTAGGGCTTGTATGAAAATTAAGAATCAGGAAACACACACATTGGGAGCATAGCCCAAAGCTTGCGGCAGTGTCTGGGCTGGCAAATGTTTCTACACTGGTAGTGTCTTTCGAAATGTTGAAGTCAGCATGCAAAGGTCAGTAGGATGTTTTCAACTGGAAAATGATACAATTGATCTATTTTTTGATAGATGGAGCTACTGTTGATTTTTAATAAACATCGTAGATAGGTGTGGCGATTGATGTCTAATCTTAGAACAACTTAAAGGTTCCACTTTACTGCTTGACAGCCAAAATCCAGTTAGGATAGATAGGTGACCTCCTCTATTAAGATTTATTGAAGACAAGCATTAAGTAAAATAATCAGTTATCATCCTAGGATGTCTTCCATTATAGTGGCAAGTTTCAAAAATAGCCAAGTATAGTAGTAAATCTTTAACAGGGAGGAAAAATCCAAGCTTCTAGAGTTTCATCTCATGTTTGGATTTTTGTGGTGTTTTTTTTTTTTTTTTTTTTTTTTTTACCTTGGAAGTGATAAAACTCAACCTAGCCCTTATTTCAGGTAGTTGAGAACTCCAAGCAACTCCTCTGCATTAGTGCTTGCTCAGTCAGTGAGCTTAAAGTAGATTTGCTAGCATATTGCATGATCCACTCATATTTAATAATTACAAGCTACTTTTGCTTTTCTTAAAAAGCTTGGTGCCTCCTAAGGAGGTGCAGTATAACATTACAATCTTCTAGAATAATGATCTTTACTTACCTGGTGAGATAAGACTGGATGTAAGTCTTTATGTGCTCTGTCAGTCAGCAGACATCTTCTGAAAACCAAGCCAAGAATTGAAATGTCTCCTTCCATCTTACCCCCAGCAGGCAGCTGAGCACTGTGTAGCTGCTTGCTTGCTTGCTTCCCCCCAGCAGGTTGGGGAGAGAACTGGGAGGGCGAGTCCAAAACCTTGTGGGTTGATGTAAAGACAGTTTAATAGGTAAAGCAAAACCTGCATGCCCAAGCCAAGCAAAGCAAGGCATGAACTTGGTGCGTCCCGTCGGCAGGCAGGGGCTCAGTGCTCCCAGGGGAGCGGGGCACCGCCCTAGGGAACAGCTGCTGGGCAAGACACACGTCGAATGTCCCTCCACTTCTTTCTTTCCCTGCATTTTATTGCTAAGCATGACAACATACAATATGGAATACTTCTTTGGGCAGTTAGGGTCAGCTGTCCCAGCTGTGTCCCCTCCCAGCAGACATTTCATTACCATTTCATTGGTAATCTGTTGATCCTATTGATCTGATTTTGTATTTTCAGAGAAAACACAGCACTCTTTTATTTAGGGCCATCAAGCTTACTGAAAAGTTGTAAACAAGGATGTTTTGTTGATCTCTTGGCGTAGGTGGCATAGTATTGCTGTGTGTTGTGATTTTAAGAAATCTCTTCTCATGTGTTGGATTTTTGGAGCTGTATAGTAGGCATCTGATTACAGAGGAGAAAGTGTTTCAGTGCTGCTCTGAAAGCAAGGAGGAATTACAGATGTTACTGAGATCTTAATAAGCTACATCTTCTTTACATGTTATGTTTTAGAAAGTCTTCACAACACCCAGGCGAAGGTGGAGGAATGCTGTTGCTTTTGATGAGATGAGGGTGATTATCAGAGCCCATTGAAGCACTTCAGATTTAAGTCTTAAGAATATTTTTTAGCAGTAGGCCAATAGTGGGGTGGTCTGCAGTATTTTGTAATACTTTGAGAATATGCAGAACATTATATCCAGAATATATAGCAGGTTGTGGATTGTTTCTGTGTGTTGTATAAATTTCATGTAATCTTGCTGCTTAGAGCAGTTTATCGTCCTTGTTGTTAACCAAAGAAAATAAGATCCCGTTTTCTTAAAATGAAGTTCTATGTTGAGAAATAAATAGTGCATGATTTAACAACAGAGAGACCCCTTTGGCTACTCTGTAGGTCATTGTGTGTGTACTCGGAGCGACTGTCCTGTCATACCCACTGAGGTGAAAGAGAGGGAGGTCTCTGCAGGTGTCTGTTCTGTGAGGTGAGTGTGTGCGTCTGGGCTCTGTACAGAAAAGTCCATCCGTGTAGGTAGTGGGATTTGAGATGTTAGCTTCTAGATATTTAACTGACACATTTTAAAGCACTTGGATTGAACTGAGTAGTGGCAAAGTATTTTGATGAGCTTTCTCAGAATAAAACTGTCTTTTCCGTTCTTCTTAGCTTCCAGTTCCTGGTCCTCGTGTAGTGAGCAGCCAAGGATTGGCCTCCCCTTTTGGTTTGCTGTTGTGGTTCTGTTCTTTTCTGGTTTTCCCTCCTTAAAATCATTCCT